GAAAAAAAATCACTGAAATCTAAAATTACATCTCCAATGAAATGTTTCTTAAACAATATATTAAGTTGGCATAGGCATTTCTTTTCTGAACAGAAAACTATCTTTTTGAGGAAAGATTATAATTAGGGCTGTAAGTTTTGTTTCTAATTCATTGTGCATATGAAATCCTCTCAACTAGGCTAAATAAACTATTCTCTGACACAGTGTTATCAACATAGCACCAAACTTCAATGCCATCTGACCTAACCTGTAATCAGGATATAATAGCACCGAATCATCCCAGACCCTTCCGGCTCACACAAGTTTCAGTTTTTAATCATCTGCTATTTCCCGTAGTAGGTGATACTTTGGCTATTTTTCATTTGTCATAAAAGCACTTTTTTTTTCTGGCTTAGTATCCTAAGTAAACTAAGATCACATATAACTAGCTATGTTTCACAATTCCAAACTGGGATTTTGTTTAAATGCCAGAAAGAAATGTACTATCGCCTCTTCTCCTTATAAGTTAGTGTGTGATAAATATAAGTAAATATTATGACTTCCATCTCTACTTTCAGTTTCGAAAACACTGCTACAGAAGAACGAATACACCGTTCTGACAACTTATGAAATGACACAAGTACCACATGAAGTTGCATGCTAGCCAAACCTGAATTTTTACAGGAAATTAAAAAAAAAATTTCTTTTCACAATAGAAAAACAAAAATGAGACAGAAAAATCTGCTATAAAATTAATAATGAACATGCTTCTTATAAAATAATCAGGTGTGATTTCCACTCTAGCCATATGGCAGGTTAAATACCATGAAGATTCTTCTATTACAACAAAATAACTCAATATAGTATAAGATGTAATGTTTATTGGCCTGCTGACCTCACAGGAACTAAGAAAAATCTCCAAGAGTACCAAAAGAAAAGTAAAAAGGAGGATGACCTAAGTAGGCATAATCGTCCAGAGGGGAAATGCACCAAGCCATGGCCTAGAGGCAAAGTGGGGACCAGGGAAGGCGTTAGTAACACACCCTAATTCCTGGCAAAGCAAATTGAGAACTTCTCAAGGAAATCATTCTCCAATTAGGCTCCAAGTTCAGCCAGAGATAAAAATGCACAAAATAGGGCCGGCTGAGTGGCGCGATGGTTAAGAACTCACTTGGGATGCCAGAGGGCCCCGGTTCGGATCCCACATATGAGGGCCAGTGACACTGCCCTCTACAGCTAAGATGCTGAACAACAGCTCAACCTGGAGCTGGGCTGCCGTGAGTCGCTGGCGACGGCGTAGGCTGCAGTCCCTGTGGCAGTGGGTTGCCATGGGCTACCGTGTGTAGCCAGCAGCCAGCGTGAGCGGCCAGCAGCCGCAGTGAGCGGCCGTCCAGAAGCCGGCGACTGATCTGCCTCTCCAGGGAAGAGCGCAATGATGGTGCCAACTTGGGCAAGTGAGGCAACGTCCTCCACAACTAGATTGAGGAACAGGATGACAGCAACTTGTCTGTTCCCCTTCCCCAATCCCCCAGCACTGTTCCCATCCCCCCAATTCCCCAATAAAAATCTTTAAAAAAAAATGCACAAAATATAAATTTTGTAATCAACTGGACAAGTTCTATAAAAAAATTCTGTTTTTACTGAAATCATAGTAAGCTTATAAATTAATCAGTAAGAACGCAAAGAGCACTCTGAAATGAGTAATGAGAAAGGATTAGCCCTACTGGATATAAGACATAATTAAAACTGTCATGCTGCCAAATAAACAGAGGCACCAATGACACAAAATGGGAAATTAGACTAGACCCCATGCACATGGTAAGTCAGTGTACGGTAAAGGAGGTGTCTAACCTCTGAGGGACAAAGAGGATTTATTAATAAAAGTGTTGGGACAACTTGTAGCTATTTGGAAAAGTGTAAAGTTGGATTTACAACTCATATTACTTCTGATAAACTCAAAACAGATCAAAGATTTATATGCTAAAAATGAAATATGGGGCCAGCAGAGTGGGGTATTGGTTAAGAGCTGGCTGGGGATGCCAGCTCTGAGCAGCAGAGCCCCGGTTCGGATCCCACATGAGGGCCAGTGACACTGCACCCTCTACAGCTAAGATGGTGAACAACAGCTTGACCTGGAGCCGGACTGCTGTGAGTCGCCGGTGACGGCGTAGGCTGCAGTGGGCTACCGTAAAGCTACTGTTGAGTGGCCGGCCGCTGGAGTGAGCTGCCAAGAGCCGCTGTGAGCAGCCATCCATTGGCCGGCAACTGATCTGCCTCACCTGGATGGAGCACAGTGATAATACCAACATGGGCCAGTGAAGCAACGTCTTCCACAACTAGACTGAAGAAAAAAAGGACAGCAACTTGGCTGTTCCCCTCCCCCCATTCCCCAATTACCAAAAAAAAAAAGAAACATAAAAAAAGTCCTACAAAAACATAAAGAGATCGTTTATAAACTTGGGGTGAAGGCCTTTCTAATGATATGTCAAACTCTAGAAGCCATAAAAGATCAACTGAATTAGGTAAAAAACGAAAGACTTCTGTGTGGCAAAATAAAATAAGCAAGATCTAAAGACAAAAGACAAACGGGAAAAAAATACTTGAAACTCATATTTCAAAGAGCTGAAGCAGCTCTCTCAATCTGCGCATGGAGAAATCTCCAGAATACACTATTTAAGTGGACAAAAGCACGATGCTGGGCAGTGTGCGTAGTATGTTACTATGTTACATAATAACATAACATAGTATGTTATTTTTAAATTGGGGGCTTGTATTTGCTTGTATATACATAATATATTTGTGGGCGATATAGACACTGATGTTGGAGTTACTTTATTGGAAGTTGCTTTGCACCAATTTTGGTTCCAAGCAATTTGTTCTTAATGTGGTATTATTTTCCAAGTAAATGTAAACCTGAAAACATATTCATATACAGAATAGTTTTCTTCATTTTGGCTGAGTAATGGTTGTTCTGCTTAATCAATTATCGTAAGTTAGTAAGGGGTCCTCACACAATTGCCTAAAAGGGGATTCCAAAATTGATTTACTCAGAGGGGGGAGAAGGGTGATAGTGGTAACAATGTTTCATTGTTTCCTTTTTTATCTTTTAAATTCCAATTCCGAACCATAGGAGGATATTATCTAATCAAATATTTGCTTGTCCAAAATCCATACCTTTATATATTAAAATTTTTATAGGTGTCCCATGTCCAAAGTATCCCTTGCTATCTTAATCAGTTTCTGAATTCAGAGAGCAAGTTGAGGATAAGAAGGATACCTGAAAACCTAACCAACCCTAAACCTTAAACCCTAACCCAAACATTCATATGAACCTATCACATGCCAGATACTACATATAAATTTAATTATTTATATAACCATTTAAGATAGGCATTAAGTCCCATGTTATAAATGAGAAAAAAATGGCCCAGTAAGATAAACCAAATTGCCTGCGTACAGTTATTAAGCCAGCACTTGAATTTGGTTCTGATTCCATAGCCCTTGCTCTTTCCATTATTTTTTAACTAATTCAGAGGGTGGTAATATATTCAACATCCTAATGCTTAAAGTAACTGTTGGGCAAATAAAAACCTACCCATCACCAGTATTTTTATAAGTATACAGATACCACCCCTCAGAAACCACAGACTATTTCACTACAAGTAAGATATGTGGGATATAAACAACTTATATATTGAGAGTAAGTACGTATTGTGGGTGAAATCTTTTCAGTACAAAACCTCCTTAGCACTGAATATTTTAAAAACACCATAAGAAAGATTCCTATAGCCCTTTACAAGTTAGCTGTGCAAATAAACTGTAACACTGTTTCAAGTAAAAAGGTCTAAATAATAATCGTTTTTCAATCTTATGAAAATTCTTGAGGTCAGCAGAAACAGATAATAAGTTCACTTCAGAGATCAGGAAAGTAAGCCTTAAATTAATCAATTTAGCTAAGAATCATCCAGTTAATTTTTTCACAAATTAGTACAATACCCATTTTTCCCTGACTTATTATCCAACTCATTCATAGTTGATTTTATCAATAAAACTTCCCAAGCTACAATGTATGTCTATGATCTTGTGCAGAATGGCAACTCCTAAAAATTTCTGGCTGCCATAGGAATTTGGAGAACAAAGGGCCTGCATCATGATGGTTTCTGGGTAACATGCAGAAAGCACACGAATTTTATGTTAAAGAATTAACAGTAAAAATCAAGTTATTTCATAGTCAGGAATATTCCAAAATTTCAGCCAAAATGTTCAGCCAATACTTTCTGCCTAAATTCATTGTTTTACTTATGTACACATACAATTTAAATCCGCATGTAGTCACATATGGTGCCTACAGCCTGAAATTAGGAATTATATAGAGTGACTAAAACTTGTGATCAATAATCCAACACATAATCCAAAATAAACTTAGTATCTTTACTAGACAGAGTAAAGCGTTAAGAAAAATTAGCTATTATATTTGGGTAGTTTGTGGGAAAGAGGGGACAGTTTTTAATATATTAACTTGCATGTGGAGCAACAGGAATTAATCCTTGAATAAACAATTCATTTAACAAAAGCTTTCAACATATTTTAGTGAACTGGATCCTTCCAACCTTCCAAAAAGGTGGTATTATAATCATTTAAAATCTTTGAGCCTCAAGTTTCTTCTCTGTTAATTTGTCTATAGTTATACTGTTAGTAAACAGGAAGGCAAGACTCAAATATAGGTTTCCTAACTACAAATCCAGTATGCTTTGCACTAAGCCATTAGGAGCAGGGATCTGAGTATGCCCCATTTAGAGTATCCGCATAATTTTACAAATACAGATACACACGTGGTTATACTATCGCTCACATCTCTGATAACCCTCGAAGCCTGTATTACACTTACAAAACAGACTATTTGGAAATAACATATAAAGATTAAAGTCACACTTCCTGGAATATGTATGTAAGTTAGATAAAAATTACTTGAGAAATCCAAATATTGTCAATGACCACATATTGTTGAGAATGCTACCTACCCGTTTCGAAGGACAGTGTTCATTCTTCTCATCTGTCATCTTCCCACTTTTAAGTGCTTTCCTTGGGTGCTTGATGGTTGTTTTTATGGCAGGTCGACATACATAGTTCTCCAAGTTCTTGGGAGGTTTTTTAGTTCTCTTAGCCTGAAGGCCAATTTTCAATTTTAAATTTCCCTCTGAGAAGTTCGTTTCTTTCACTGAAAACTGCTGCTGTGCATCAGCCAGACCATCGCCTTTCCCCGCTTCGTTGTTTCTGTCCCGACTCCACTTGCGAGGGCCCTCTTCCTCCTGTGCGCCGCTCTCGAGCTCCACTTCTCTCTTGCTGACCAGTGTGCCAGTACTGATGGCAGGGGGACTCTTTCTTGAAAATCCTTCGGAATCAGAACCCAATCCTAACATAGCAGTATTTCTAGGGTCCATCACAAGTGTATGTTATTGCCAAGGAATCCTAGGAATATTTTACAGAACTGTGTTCCACAAAAAACAGGGATCTCCAAAATGTGCAACCAGCATCTCTTTCTCTGCAGGACAGACCATAACAAAAATTTATCAGAATAGAGGCAACGACTGGTTAACATGAGAAATGGGTATGGGGCAGGGGGTCAAGGAAGTCAGGAAGAACCCAAAATCACAGTTAAAACAAAACAAAATATAGTTAAAAATGAATTTATATTCATTCAGTTATAGTTAAATTTAAAATTTCAGAATAAGTTTATTATTCTACAGATATCATAAACAAGCTGCAATGGTATGGTGCAAATCAAGGTCTAAAAACCACTGTGATCATTCAACCAAAAAGATTTGCAAACACAAGCCTAAGATAAAAATAATCTTACACATTTTAGCATTCTTCAGTTTCAAAGGAATATATATTTTACATTTCTAGTTGAATAAAATCCATTTCACCGAGGGTAAAAAATCATGTTTTGGGCTGGTTTCAGTGCTCCAGCCTTTTTTTATAAGAGGTTGTCAGGTTTTTTACGTTAGGACTTAGGCTGGAATTATCCCTGTTGTACAATTCAACTCTGCATTCATTCAAAAGTATTTCTGAGCACTTGTCATGTGCCAGGCATTGTGCAATACCCTGGAAACACAGCGCACAACCAGACAGATCCAGTTCCTAACCTTACCAGGGGTATACAGATAGTGAGAAAGACAAATGTTAAAACAACTAATTACACAAATGATTTATAACAATTGTTATAAAAACTTTGAAAACCAGAAACTTATTTTTATAAGTTTTCCTAACAGTAGTCAGCTGGCATGCTTCAAATCCCCAAATCCATAAAATATTTTTAAACCAGCATGCCAGCTTATTATTTTACAGCAGGTGGTACACCTTACTTGAGAAACTGAATAATCTACACAGGGCAACCCCCTTCTCAGGAAACCAGATTACCATATAATCAGAAGGCTAACTAATAAATGTAAAACCAAAGGAAAAGAACTCACTATTCCTGAGGCTGATAGACTAGTCTTTATTTCAAGCCTATATCTAAAACAAGATTCAGGGCTAGTATCTGGAAAAAGAATAGCTTATCCCTTAGAAAGTTCCATTTATGAAGGAGAATATTTTATAGTTTAAACTATGTGCCTTAATACTTTTCTTTCCAACACGGTTATAAGATTCACAAGGACAAAGACCATGTGATATAATTGTTTGATAACTCCCACAAGGAAGGTAAAAAGCATAGCCCAATGATTAGCACATAGCAAGGGCTCAATAAAAGGTACCAACAATTTATTGTTATTATTAACAACAGCAGGAGCAGCAGCAGCTTTTTAAGTAGTTACTCAATAATATTGGCCAGCCTACTACACCTTTGAGTTTGTTCCCAATCTATTCATTCACACACCTAAAAGAGTATCTTCCAGTCAGTTCGCTCTGACAATTCTTGCTCTCTACCACTTCATATAGTACATCCACAATGACATTCAGGCTTTTTATAATCTGGCTCTGACTATCCAAACTTGTTTTACCCTGACTTCCTAACACACATCCCCTATGATTTAGTCAATTCAGTTTTCTTTACTGTCCCTAACAAATGATGTTCATTTCTGCTTCTGTGCCATGTGCTTTCTTTCCCTTTAAAAGTACAAAGTTCTATCTTCTCCATGACGGGTTCGCAATCCTGAAATTCAAAAGTCTGAAAATCAAGTCTTTTCATAACTCATTAGTGACAAAACCTGATCTGGATCCATTTTTGTCTTAATTACCACAATATCTGTGAACAGTCATACATTTCAATGCTGAAATATTATATTAATGTGTTTGATTGAGGAGCGGCACTCTACACACCACAGTGAAAGCAACCCATTCTACCTCCTATGATCTTTCTAAAAGAAACAAACTTCTGGATGATGAACCGTGGACCTCTGTTCTCAGACCTGCATTTAAGCTTGCACTGACCTGATCCTTCTCTAAATACCTACTATCCATCTAGGATCACAATTCGGGTAATTCATTTTTTATTCTTGCTCCCCATTTGTCAGCTACATCCCCAGGCCGGCTGTCATTAAAACATAAGCTTCATGCAGGTAGGAAACTCCTCTGGCTTGTTCTCTTCTACATCCCCGCACCTGGAACGATGACTTTCGCATATTTTAATACCCAATAAATATTTGAATGAGTGAGTGAATTTTAAGGCCTCTATAGCTTCTAACATAATGTTTGGCATGTAGAAAATGTTTTTGTTTGTTTTTTTAACATGACTTCATCTTGTGTTATAAATTTGAAACCTATACACAAGTTTTTTCTTATTGTATGCTGACTGTATTTCATACAAGTGGTTTTCTGTAAATTCCCTAAAATATCTTAATTGCACTAGTAAGAGCTGCCAAATCATATCTTATGCCTCTGCTATCTCTGTGCCATCAAAGCTGGTCGAAAAAAAACAATCATGCTCCCTGATCTCACTTCATATTCCTGACCACTAGCCTCAAGCGGCCCTCAGTGCTGGAACACATTTCCCTATCTGGTCACTCCACCACAATCCAGACAACTATTTCCTATCATCTCCACTCTCACTGACTTTGCCTCCAACCTGATGATGGCAGCAGAAGCAATCAGAAGAAAACTGCTACAAGTGCCTACCATGTACCCACCCACTTGCCTGTGTCTGTTCCTACAGGTTCCGCCTTCTTTTCTATCAGAACATAAATTGTCTCTACTACCAACCCCTCCACTCGAGGACTACATCCTGGCCCGGCTGCCTTCTCAGGAGCATTATTCAGGCCACTAGCCTCTTTCACCCTCACATACCCATTTCTCACCTTTCCTCCAGACAATGCAATTAGCACAAAACTCCTCTTGGCCCCGTATCCTCCACCAGCTGTCCACTTCAACAAAAGTTCTTGAAAGGGTTGTCTATACTCCCCACCTTCGATTCCTCATCTTTTCTTTTTCTCTTGCACACGCCAATTACACTTTCACCACCACCTCTGCACAGAAACTGTCAGGTCACGATGTACTTACTCTACACTGCTAAGTACAATAATCATGTTCTCCAGCCTCTCATTTAACTTGCCCTACCAGCAGTGTCCGACCAGCTGAGCAGCCCCTCACTCCGTCACCAGACTTCCAGGCCAGGACCCCTCTCTGGATTCTTCTCCCTTACTGGTGAGTCGGCCTCTGCCAGTTCTTTTTCTCCCTAAACTCTCAAGACGGGTGCCCCAGGGCATGCCCTTCTTCTCGCTCTACCTACACTCACTTCCTAAAGGACCAGGTCTAATCTTTTGGATTTAAATGCCATCTGACATCGATGATTAACAAATTTCTATCGCTATCCAGATTGAGAGCAGCTGAGACCTCTTCCTGGAACTCCAGCCTCATGTATCTAAATGCCTACTTGACACTGACTGGATGTGCAGTAATTAGGCATTTCAAGCTTAATATGTCTAAAATCATGTCATCTTCACCCCCACCATCTGTTCTTCCCACAGGCTTCCTCATCTCAATAAATGCAACTTCAACCAGAAACACTTAGGCCAAAAATTTCTAATCACCCTTGATTCCTTTCTTTTTCTAATGCCTCACATATCCATTTGGTCAACAGTGTTATTTACCTCCAAAATATATGCAGAATGTATTAATGTAATTATATTCATATAATCATATAATCAGTGGGAATCTATTTCTCACCACTTTTCTTACATTTTTTACTTTTCACTAAGTTGAGCTCCAAGTGATAATATATATGGGTCAGATTACTCCAATAGCCTAACTGGTTCCTCGCTTCCTTCGGCCCTGTCTCTCTAGTCTTCTGTACTCAGCAGCAGGATGATCCTTGTAAAGCCTGTGTCAGATCATGTCACTCCCCTGCTCAAAATCTGTTCAACGGCTTCCTGCTTCTCTCCAAGTAGAAGCCAAAGTCCTTCCAATGGCCTAAAGGCCATACTTAATCTGCCCTACAATACCCTCTACCTCTCTTCATCTCCTACCAGTCTCTCCACTAAGTTCCAAAAAAAGGGGGCTACAGGTCTCCTCCTCCCATTTCTCAAATACAACAAAACTACTCCTATCAGGGCCTGAGTTATTATGCCACCTGACTACAACACCCTTTCCCCGGATAATTGCATGGTTTGTTCTTACACTTCCTTCATGTTTTTGCCCAAATGTAACCTTACAGAAGAGGCACTCCCTGACATCCCGTCACCCTCTTCTCACACTGTATCCTGTTTTATTTTTCTCCATTGCTCTTCTCACTACGTGGTGTACAATATATTTATGTATTGTCTGTATCTTTCCATTGGAATGTGAAGTCCACCATGAAATGGATTTTTCTCAGTGTAGTTGAATATAGTACCTCAGCACCTGGAATCAATTCTTGAATTAATTTCATGCCTTATGTGGGTTATATTATTGGCTTCAGTTTGTTCCTTTTTTGGTTTTGTTTTGTTTTTTCCTCTCTCTTCTTCCTTTTCCTTAATTTCTAATGCCCATCCTGGGTTTCATGTCACTAACGGTAAACTGATGGACTTGCCAGGTTATCTTTTGGATGAGTTATTAAAACAAATCCTTTCTGGAATAAAAATAAATACTATTTTTAAAAAATAATTGCTTTTATATCCTTCCAATATGCTCAAGTATACAATTTTAAAATTTACAATTTTTGCTTTTCATAATGAAAGAATTTCAGAAGTCTTTATAACTGTAAAGTAGAATTTCAGTATTGCTTCCAAAGAACTCAAAGCATTTTTTACCAGTACTTACTTTCAAAACATTCCATAAAATAAGTGTCTGGGAAAGCGTGATTCTCTTTATTTTTAAAAAGGAAAAAACTGAATTCAAGCAATGCACATTATTATAAAATAGCAAAATATCAATAAGCTGAAAAGGAGTTAATTTGAACACATTGATCACCTCCCTAAAAACATACAAGAATAGAAAGACATTGTTTCCCTAACTTGATCAAGGAGGAAAAAGAGCAGTATGCTTAAGGGCGTATTCTGTGAATCCATTTAAGCAGCCAGGGCTGGAAAATGATTGGCAAACCCCACATAGCAAATTTAAGTGTTTCTA